CACAGAACTCGTATGACTTATCTGCGCAAATAACAGGGCATAGAGCACAGGGCACAGAGCTCGTGTGACTTATCTGCGCAGAGCACAAGGCACAGAGCTCGTGTGACTTACCTGCGCAAATAACAGGGCATAGAGCATAGGGCACAGAGCTCGTGTGACTTACCTGTGCAGAGCACAAGGCACACAGCTCGTGTGACTTACCTGCGCAAATAACAGGGCATAAAGCACAGAGCACAGAGCTCGTGTGACTTATCTGCACAAATAACAGGGCATAGAGCACAGGGCCCCGAGCTCGTGTGACTTATCTGCGCAGAGCACAGGGCACATAGCTCGTGTGACTAATCTGCGCAAATAACAGGGCATAGAGCACAGGGCACGGATATTGTGTGACTTACCTGCGCAAAGAACAGGGCATAGAGCACAAGGCACACAGCTCGTGTGACTTACCTGCGCAAATAACAGGGCACGGAGCTCTGTGACTTACCTGCGCAGAGCACATGGCATAGAGCACTGGGCACAGAGCTCGTGTGACTTATCTGCGCAGAGCACAGGGCACAGAGCTCGTATGACTTACCTGCGCAAGTAACAGGGCATAGAGCACAGGGCACGGAGCTCGTGTAACTTATCTGCGCAAATAACAGGGCATAGAGCACAGGGCACAGAACTCGTGTGACTTATCTGCGCAAATAACAGGGCATAGAGCACAGGGCACAGAGCTCGTGTGACTTACCTGCGCAGAGCGCATGGCATAGAGCACTGGGCACAGAGCTCGTGTGACTTATCTGCGCAGAGCACAGGGCACAGAGCTCGTGTGACTTACCTGCTCAAATAACAGAGCATAGAGCACAGGGCACAGAGCTCGTGTGACTTATCTGCGCAAATAACAGGGCATAGAGCACAGGGCACAGAACTCGTATGACTTATCTGCGCAAATAACAGGGCATAGAGCACAGGGCACAGAGCTCGTGTGACTTATCTGCGCAGAGCACAAGGCACAGAGCTCGTGTGACTTACCTGCGCAAAGAACTGGGCATTGAGCACAGGGCACAGAGCTCGTGTGACTTACCTGCGCAAACCACAAAGCACACAGCTCCTGTGACTAACCTGCGCAAAGAACAGGACATAGAGCACAGGGCACAGAGCTCGTGTGACTTACCTGCGCAGAGCACAAGGCACACAGGTCGTGTGACTTACCTGCGCAAAGAACAGGGCATAGAGCACAGGGCACAGAGCTCGTGTGACTTACCTGCGCAGAGCACAAGGCACACAGCTCGTGTGACTTACCTGCGCAAATAACAGGGCATTGAGCACAGGGCACAGACCTCGTGTGACTTTCCTGCGCAGAGCACAAGGCACACAGCTCGTGTGACTTAACTGCGCAGAGCTCAGGGTACAGAGCTCGTGTGACTTACCTGCGCAGAGCACAAGGCACACAGCTCGTGTGACTTACCTGCGCAAAGCACAGGGCACAGAGCTCGTGACTTACCTGCGCAGAGCACAGAGCACGAAGCTCGTGATTTACCTGAGGGAGAAGAGGTTCTGGAAGGCGGCGTTGCCGATGAGCGAGATGTTGTTATGAGCGAGGTCGACGGTGTGCAACTCGTAGAGCTTGGGGAAGGCTTGCTTGGGCAGGTCTCGGAGCGCGTTGTGGCTGGCGTTGAGGACGCTCAGGCCCGACATGTTTTGGATAGGGATCTGCATGAAGTCCTCGAAGCGGTTGTGGGAGACGTCGAGCACGAAGGCGTAGGTGTTGAGGTCGAAGGCGCCGCGCGGCACTGCGGCAAGCCGGTTGTGGCTGAGGTCGAGCGCCGTCAGGTTGTTGCAGTTCTGGAAGGCGCCCACCTCTATGTCGGCCAGCGCGTTGTGCGACACGTTCACCACGGCCTGGTACAGGTCAGTGAACGCCTGCTGCTCTATCACGCTTATCTGGTTCTCCGCCAGGTTTATTATCTGCGGGCGAGGAGTCGATGCGATGTTTAATCATCGACATGATGTGTATTAATAGCACGGCTCCAGTGGAAGACCTACCTCGGCATATTTGACCTGCTGGAACATCTGGAAGTCGACCTTGGTGATGAGGTTGCGCGCGAGGTCGACGGTGCCGATGCGCGTCACCGCCGCGAAGGTGCCGCGTCCCACCTCCGCGATCTGGTTGTCCTGGAGGTACAGCCGCCTGCCAACACGCACCCTCTACATTGTTGTGTACACGTACAGCGCATGCAGTACTCTTGCCAGGAGGAGTGTGCACCGACCTGAGGAAGCGCATGCCGCGAAAGGCGTTGGTGTCGAGCTTTCGCAGCCGGTTGTTGTCGAGGTGCACCACCTTGATGACCGTGTTGCGCGCGAACATGCCCCTGCAACAGCAAGCAAACACCTGCCTCGCATCATTACGTTCGATATTGCATATCCCAGCCTGCGGGTCACCATCAGCACGCCTGTCACCTGGGTATGTCCGCGATGAGGTTATGGCTGGCGTTGCACCAGCCCAGCTTAGTGAGGTCGCCCATGTGACTGCCGTCCAGCTTCGTTATGTTGTTGTAGCTGCAACAAGGCTTGTCTTACACTGACTGTCCTCACGTGGGATGTTCAGCGGCGGCAAGTGTGTGTGTATGTGTGCGTACCTGAGGTCGAGCAGCTCGAGGTCCCGCAGGCCGCGGAACTGGTTGCGCTTAAGGGCCGAGAGTCGGTTACCGTGCAGGTCCAGCGTGCGCAGCTTTTTCAGGTGCTATTAAACAATCCAACGGTTAATCAGATTAAATGTGTGGCTGCAACTATGACATAATCGATCTTAAAATAGCATTTATTAATAGCAAAAATGATATGAGAGAAAGGCTTTGACAAAGAAAACCTGAAAGGCCTCAGGGGGTATGTCTGCGAGGAGTCCGTTGGGAAGGTGCAGGCGTAACAGGCTGCCGGCCGCTGCGCTGCCCACGAATATATCCTGCGCCAGGGACTGCATCAAGTGCCCATCTATTGACAGGATCGATAGGTTGCCCAGTATCTGGGAAAACGCAAACACTGCTGATGCCCTAGCCCATTAACAAAGAGATTGTCATTACAATCATCATTAACAAAATATATTGTACCCTAAAGGCTTCCTTAGGGAAGGTAGCCATTTCTGTGTTACGCATATAGAGCTCCTGTAGTGTGCTGTTTACGCCCTCGAAGCCGGCCTCGTCTATAGTGCGCAACGGTGTGTCCACCATGTGCAGCACCCGCACACGCACCCGTCGCAATAACGCGCCAAACAGTCTACCTGCAATCACCACATCCACAACCACTGCACTTACTGCAACTCCTAAGCATGAACACACAGCTTCAACATTGTCCATCTTCCAAATTTCACAGATGTGGAAGATGGACAAATTCCAAAAAAAATTTTTTTTAAAAAGATTGACAAGTCAATCCTTCATAATAATTAATAACCTATTTCTGTTTAAGAGTTGCACTCACCTATTTTGCATTCTCTAAGCTCCAGCCTTTCAATAGGCAAGCCGAGGCCTGCAATATTTCCAAGGCCCACACTAAGCACCGCCAGCCCCACATTCTCACATCGGATGTGCAGCCCTGCATCCGTTCCATTCTCGCAGGTGCAAGGGTATAGCAACTGTCTTTGAGCATCTTTGGGACATGGATACGCAGGCCCGGGAGGAATGTACTCTGCACTTATCAAAAAGACTGGTCCTGTGAGCAACACGCAGAGCCACCAGTGCCTCATACTTATGATGGAGGGCTGACCTACAAACATTATAGGTATGCAATGGTATGCGGACAGGTGGTTGGTTAGTACTCATGTTTTTCTATAGATATGCCGATGATTTGATTGAGAAACATTTGTTGTCATAAACATTTATAATATTGTGTGTTATTGAAAAAGATAATGATATGTGATAAGAATATAAAGATATGTATTTTAAGTTCATAAAACATACCCAAAATTATAAAAGTAGCACATTGAAATCACACTCATATATAATGACACTCCCAAAGCTTCAAATTTATATGAAACAATCCAACAAGGGCTTATGTATATACATCACATTGTTTTATCTATTACATGTACAAATAATATGTAAAATCACAATTATTATGAAGTTGAATGCTTGGCTAAGATTATAGGTTTTTAAGGAGCAAGCATTATAGAAAAGGAAGTATAGATCTACAGAAAAGTAATAACAAGGTCAGACGAACTCGTTTTACACGTTTTCATAATGTAAATTAGAAAAAACTTGTGCTTCATTTAAGTGAAAAACACAACTTCGATAACCAAGTACCGTTAAATAATCCTACTTGTAGCAGTTTTGGCAAAACATGAGAAACTTAATTGTGAATCGTGTAAATACTTTCACCACGATTCAATGCTTTGTCACATATTTACCTGTAAATATTCATTAGTCAATCAACAACAAAACTAAATCTTGCAACTTTCTATTGAATCATAATCGTTTTAGACTGGGAATTGGGATTGTGACTATAATTTTTTAAGGTATACAAATTATACCTCAGTTACCCTCCATCAGTAACTTGAATTACACCAACAGAAAAAGTGAAACTAAAATAATTAAACTGACTTCAGACTACCATTGGCATATCATTGACACTTGACAGTTGACAGAATTTTGACCGAATACAAAGAGCACAATATAAAATATTGATCTCACAAATTGACATAGGTATATAATAATTATAAAATTTTATTTCACAATCATGGTCCGTACAAAAAAAATTACAAATGAAATCAAATTACAGCACATATAGACGTGCAACTAATAAACAAACAAATATATGACAAACCCGTACAGATAAAACATTTATCTGGGTAAAAGTAGAAGTAAATTACAATATCACAGTAGCTCATTAGGTGCCGATATCTAAAAAGTACCACCAAGTACTTCTCCGACTGTTGCTGACTTGCACTTACATGTTGCTTAAAGTTGTCTGGTTGCTGTCTTCCGATTTTACCCAGATTTATGGGCTCGACTGAGTGCCAAGAAGCAAATCGCGAAAATCAATAATAGTTCTGTCAGAAACAAAGTACGAAGATACGCAAATGTCAGACGCCCACAAACAAGACTTGACTTCTTTTGTTTTACTTTTGTTTTTGCTGTCAACAGATATAATCTTACATATTACATATTGACTCGGAACAACTTTTATTTACAAATTATTTTTTTTACTTAAATAAATTGCTGTATTGTAGTAATAGTTAAAATTTAATAAAAAATGGGTGATAGAAGGAAAAGAGATGACCAACCGGATTGTACGAAACTTGCTCAAGCGCAAATGTTTGTGCAAGAAGATGATTCAGTTGGCTTTAACTGGATAGAAATTCTCTGCTACCCGTATATTGTTTGCGGCAAGGCGTGGGAGTTCTGCGTTCGAATATGCGCCGGTACCAACGCTTGCATGGTCTGCTGGCTCATCATGCAGTGGATTATGTGCAAGATATCCGCCTACGGTGCCCCAGATCCCGTCTTGTTTCCTTATTATTTTTACATTTTCTGTCAAGTTGTCCTAATGTCTCTTATATTTGCATGTCTTTGGTTCTTCTTCGGGAAACCTGTCGTTTATCCATATTTATTAGCGGTTTACAATACTCTGACAGATAGTAAAGGTCCGAATAACGGTAGTAGACGTATGGCTCTAAGGAGGTATTGCTTTAAGAAGAGTGAAATCTTCGGTACCAGCGTGGAAAGTGGCAGCGCTTCGCAGAATATTGATGTCTACGCACATACAGTTTCTGCAGCTTTATATTTACTTGTATATAATGCTTTGAAATAATAAAGAGGTATTTGTTTTAAAATTTTGTTTTTTTTGTTTCTATTTGAAGTTGGTTTGTTGTTGTATAAACGTCTGTGTTGTGTAAGTATTATATATTATTCGTTTTGATCCTAAGCCGAAAACTTACTAATAATTCCTCTATGGCTAAAAGTTAACTATCCTTATTTTACATTGTGACTTCACTTTACCCGAAAATTTTCACAAAATAACTAACTATAACTAAGAAAAGTCTCACGACGTAATGTATGGCATTTTTCGGTCGTCTCTCGGATGGTAACGATTCGATAACTTAAATCCCAAACACTTGTGTAAGTTTGGAAAAGTAACGTAACTAATTTTATTATTTGTATTTAATAACAGCTCTGAGGTATATTCGTGTTGGCCTGATCAATAAATAAAAAAATCATGTACGCGGACGCTTCGAACGCTCATTCGTTGACATAGAAATAAACTAGGCCTAGAACTGTCGTTGTACTTAAGTAATTCCTGACATTATTTGCGGAGGGAATGTGAAGATATGCACGTATGCTTGCACTTAGGTCTTTTCGAAGACATCAAAATGTCGAAACACACAAAATGAGAATACAGGCAAGCAAATAGAAAACTCAGCATTGTTTACGGGTAAAGTCTTTTTGCTGAGAACCGTGATATAATTTATTGGGTATATAGGTACTGCGACTCCTTGCCAAGTCCGTTTCTTTATACTCAAAGAGGTACCTAATACATAGACCCACCCCCTCACTCATAAAAAGGAAGACTTCCACACTCCATCACAATTGTGTAAATGAGTATTTAGAAATTAAGCATTTGATTATTATGGTTTAATGTAGCAATACACGTAGATAAAAATCTTTACTGAAAGTTTAAACCGCTTCAAACCATACACCTATTGTAATAAAAACTATCAACCTTCCAATTCCATTAGACAGTCTGTTTCTCAGTGACTCTGTGGTTGTTCATTGTGGTTGGTGGTTGTCTGTCAATCTGTCATTGTTGTTCGCTGTCAGGCTGTCAGTTGGTCGGGTCTTTACCAGTCTTTACAATAATTTTTATAACATGAACAAGTTATAATGTTGTAGTGTGTAAAAACAATTTTGTTTCACAATACTTTACTTCTGAGAGCACGCGAAGTGATCCTGATATTTTATAATATCAGCGTATATTTGTCTACTGGTAAGTTTTTTTTTACGTAATTGAAAAAATTAAAACTTAGAAATCATTAATGCATTAACTTTTGTTTACATTGAGAAAATCGTTAATACATTAAAACAATTCTTCCTCAAACAATACAAAAGGTTTAGCGTGTGAGGCCAGCATTTTACTAGTTTCTACAGTAATATTTTTTGAGTTGCATATAATTAGACGCGTGATTGAATACACGCCAATGTTCACTTCATAATCACATTTCCCGATGGAGTGTTTAAGTTACGAGTTGGATCGCTTTCACAAGGTGCCGGTGGACGCGCGGCCCCGCGATCATCGGCTAGTAAGCGGCCTACTCTCTCTTGACGTGTGACCTTCATTTTTGGCACACTTTTCTATTTACGCCATCCTCTTTAAATCAACTATACAGACATATGTGAATTATAATAAATATATCGTATCATAACAAATAAAATAAATTAAATATTTTGTAAAATCTCAATCTGGACATAGTTTAACAATTTGTTTTTTAAACAGCTAACTACTTAATTAAGCAACTTTTTCTAATATGTTGCTAATATTGAGTGATTAGATTAAATTTTATATGTTACATTTGAGCACTTTCTAAAATTCTCCTAAAACATGTATTTATTAGTGATGTGCCAAATATTTGTGTGTTATCAAATTAACTTGAAACCTTTTTAGTAAATAGATAGAATATGTTATCTGCGGGAGGGTCACTTGCCTAAAACAATATATTGATAATGCTATAGTTGAAGCTTACATCATTATTTATAATTCTAATCACTAATGAACACATTTAAAGTAAACTCATTCCTATATTATTTTGAAACTCTGATTGCCTAACAAAAGTTATGCTAACAACCAAAGCCAATAAAGAAATATATTTTTTGGCCATATCATACAGTGACATGTAGAATGTATTATATTATAAAGTAAAACAGCTACACTAGGTAGACGGGGCAGTTGCCTAAAATATTGTCTGTTCATTTGTTTATATAGATAGCAGTTAGTAGCTTTGATATTCTTCGGTTTGGCTGGTAGGCATCAAGTACTTTGGAAGCTGTGGGGGGTTGCTTCAGAATTCAGTAGGGCAAGTGTAAATTAGATCACTGTCTGTTTCCGTTTCACACTGCACACCATAACTTTCAAAGAGACAGTGTTGTGGCTCGGGCAATATCATCAGCTCACTATATGTACCTGCCGAGGGTCTTGGAACCTACCCTAAATCAAGGGTGACTAGGCCATAGTCAACCACGCTGGCCCAGTGCGGGTTGGTTGACTTCACACATATCTTTGAATTTCATCTCATATATGTGCAGGTTGCATCACAATGTTTTCCTTTACCGTAAGAATGTCGGATAAATTTACATATGTAAATCGGAAATGGAAAAACTCAATGGTAAATGGCGGGATTCAAATCCAGGACTTACAGATTGCAAGTCAAGTGCTTGACCCCGGATCCACTGACTCGGGCACTTTATACTACTTTTATTACATATATTGTGGATTGGATATAAAATGTTGGTATCGTTTTTACATAAATGTGCATATGCAGTCTGTTGACGCACTCGCTGACGGCTTTACATGTTTCGCCGTTTTACTATTAGGCGTATCGACCGGCGATATGTAATATGCGTAAAAATTGTATTACAATAATATATTATAACTGCTCATGTCACGGTCAAATCGATGTCACACAAAATCATATACTTTCTCTATGTATGTACCTACACGTTTAGAACCGACGCCGACGCGGCCTTCGCTCCGGAGAGAGGATCCGCTCTTTGCCACTTGAGTTTTATACATATATGCTAAATTTCATCGAGATTCGTTCTAGAGATACCTAGTAACAAACATCCATCCGAACGTTCGTATTTATATAATAAGTAAGATGTATATTAAGAATGGTTGCATTTGATGTGAGGGAGAGGGTGGTGGTTGCAGTTGTTCACGTGCACATTGTATTGCGTGCACGTGGCTGTAAGGAAGGAGCCGCTGCCCGTGACGTCACAGATCAGTATCACCATCTGTATGTTATTATTCTAGTACGTATTGAATGTTCTGCCAAATATAAAGTGTTGTTATGCAAAGTACCCCTTTATAAATATTTGTAAACGCCTCACCGCTGACGACTAACACATAGAAATATACATATACATGTACATATACGTATTGTGTGACATTTGTGAGTTATTCAAACACCGACTTGATAATTATTTGAGTATAGTATAATAGTTGAGTAAACCTATATTGTCTTCCAGCAAAGTTTCATATACATACAGCCGAGGAGGAAAATAAAGGTTGGCTTTTGCGAGCAATACCACTTCTGCTTCTATACGTGTTGACTCTCACTTACCTTTGCCGATATCCTTGTGTAAATATATTTATAATTTGCCACAATCGCTAGTGTGTAGGTCGTCTCTAAGCAATATCAATGCATCTCTGCTTTTATTTGATTACTAGCTGAGCCCGCGACTTTGTCCGCGTGAAATTCTGTCTTTGGGTAGAATTGTAATTATTTGGGCTAGTTATTTTACTAACACATACAAAACATATTAAAGTCACAGAACATTCACATAAACCTCACATATTGTAATACTTTCTCAGACTTTCATCCCCTATTCCCTCTTGTTCATTTCTACCCTTGAGGGTAACATTTTTACAAACATTGAATGTCTTATTTATATCAAATTAACAGCCAAAAAACCAAGTTTCAAGCTTCTACATGTAAAAATGACGATGTTTTCATACAAATTTCCAACCTCATTTCCAACCAACAACAACCTCCTTTCCGCGTTGTAAAGTAACCTATGTCCTTTCCAGGGCTCTAGACTATCTGTTTACCAAGTTCCATTTAAATTGGTTCAGTAGTTTTTGCATGATAGAAGGACAGACAGACAGACAGAGTTACTTTCGCACTTTCGCTATAATATTATTAAGGATTTTAATTTAATTTAATTTGTAGTACAATGTTATACGCCTAGAGAATTTTATTATACAGTTGTAATTTTAATCAAATATGTTTGCTATTTTAATGCTGTAGGAGAAATTGAAATTGTCTTAATCGCTTTAAACAAAGCGTGACGATGGGTCTTGTGCAATGTGACCATCCTATTGGTCGCCGGTACTCCGATACTTATTTTAAAACGTACATACCTTCCTAATAGTTTTCCTTTTATAGTAAATATCGCCCCCAATTAACAGTTAACAGGTAAACTGGTCAAAGGAATTCAATATAATTATAATGCCACATCAGTGTTCTGACTGAAAACAAATTTGATGCCTATCCCTCCTTATGGTTAATAGTTTTATTCAAGTTGAGATATAATGATAACAAAATGAGTGAAATGAATGCGATAAAACATTAACTTATTGTTATGTCACATTAATTGCTTTTGAATGTAAATTGTAGTATAATAAATTATTATCTGTGCGTTAATGTCGCTCATTTAGTAATTGTATTATAATTTGTGGTTAGGTTGTGTGTTAATTGCTCGTATAAATATACTTATTTATCATTTTATTGACAATGCTCATTTTATAATTATTTCATAATTAGTCAACTTTTTTTATGTAAGATATAAAAAGTCTTTTGTTTTGAATAATAACCTGATAATAAGGTAAGAAGTTACCACACCAAAGGCGGATATATTGCAGGCCGCGTCCCATGGCCGCGCAAATGTTTCTTAATTTATTCCGCAATTATTAATTTAGATAAAACGGGTATCAACAGAAGAGATCATTTGCTGATATTTATTCATTTAATACGACTTAACTTATATTTTATTTTCATTCAATTATTCGTATTCAAATCATGGAGATCGTTATGATATGTAAAAACTCTTTAAGTAAAAGGCGTCATTCACACGGGCGCTTGTTTAACGTAAATATGTAGCAATTTATGTTTCATTTTGTAATATTTAGCTCGATACATTTTTTGGTTATTTTCGAACAGTTGACAATGCTGAAGCTGAAGAACACTTAATGATACCGTAGGTTACGTTTGGCGATACTACACCTAACTCTAAATATGCAATATTAACGCCCGAATGTACGAGGACTAGGAGGAAGCGAGCCGCGAGCGCAGCGATGTTATCGCCCGCCCCCGCCTCCGCCGCGCCTTAACATATCAATAACGATATTTTTGAAGCGTTGTACAAACAGTGCGATGAGGATCTCATTACTTTGCATGAACGCTGCTGCCGGCTCCATACTTACATAACAATACGTGTTGCGTCACCAGTGCCCTCCTCTCCTTTCCCCCTGCTCGCCCCCTGCTGCACGTGCCCGGGAAGTTATCTGGCGTAGTATTCACAAAACGGCCCTTGTATAGATAATCGTATGAAATAATGTAGAAACCGCAATAAAAGACGATAAATTAAATTAAACTAAACTTACCGTCGCCAACCGCGAATATACACAAGTGTTTTCTAGCGTACGGTTTTGTAACTCGCGTTGATATTATGGACGTCAACATGGTTTATAAAAGAGTTATTTTTCAATATGCATGGCAATATGTAATGCTTCCGGATAAGTATTTTGTTATATATTTGTTTGTTTTACGATGAAATGATGAGCACGTGCTCAAGCACTAGTTTATTCGGAAGTCTACGCATCGTCATATTCAATCATCCACGTCCTACAGTTCCACTAATGTCTAGTTTTAAGTATTCATTATGATAAAGAACTTAAATAAATAAATAAATAAAATGTAATTGATACAATATCCAAGTTTTTTTAAGGATCCAAATATTGAAAGGCGATAATTTAAATCGTATAAAATTCTGTATGACTCAGCTGAATGTGAGTTTTCGCTCACAGACATTTCAGATCCACTTTATTCGTGAACGTGTGCTAAGCATGTGAAGGCGGAGGCGGACTCGGAGGTCACTTCTCTGTGATATACACTCTACACTTTGTTTTCGCGGTTAAATTAACCCCGCCGCCCCGCCCCTTCGTCGTATCTCGACTACCAAATTAACAGGAAAATCATCGTCCGAATTCATAAATAACATTGTACGTCATTGCATCGTGTAATGTTTGCAAAGAGAGCGACGATTGCGGCGATGTCAAGCTGATTCAGACAATTAGTATTACATATGTACAGCTTCACGACTGACTAACAGATAAGCGGAATTATCTGCAACGAGATGAGCACATTCTACTCGACAACGTCATGGTCGGAAGATGGTTGTCAGTCTTTAATGTTATAAGGTGACAAACGAACGAGCAGCCATCTGAATTCGCTAAATTAGCGAAGTGACCGATGGCCGCAGACATAGAAATAGCAGATCCGTTGCCTATCTTTAATCGACGTAGGGAGGGGAGACATTCAGAAAAAGGATATTTCCCCTTTCTATGGGTCACATTCACTTCCTCTTGCCGAACTTATAAGGAAATATGACTAAAATGTAGGTGTACATGTTGTGTATGGTGGTGGTATTGCACCGGGCGAAGTCGGCATTCCTGCAGTAGTGATGAGATGTTGCTGCACCACTGTTGTTTTTTGTCCATTTCATCATCTTGAAATGTTTAACTTCGACGCAAAGCCATTTTCTGCGTTTAAACATAATAATATATGGAACTCAAAAATAACCTCATAAATAAACTTTAACAAGTCGACAACAAGCAACAATGTCAATGCGGGGGCAACGCAATTTCATATAATGAAATTGCGTTGAGTTCCACAAATTGCTTCCAAATGTTTTGTGTGGTTTGGATAAGTTTTACACTTCCCCGAGGCCCGCGCGGTGGTGGTGGTGGTAGTGATGGTGGTGATGGTGGTGATGGTGGCGACCAAGCTCTTATTGTTTTGTACATATTTGTAGGATACAGTTTTTAATGTAAGTATTGTCTTGTGATACATGTACATCTTCATTTTATACATCTCTTGTTATCTTCATTTAAAATGTAATTCATCCTGCCGTTTATTCTATCACATTTGATCGCTTATTACTTCATTGTTCATTCTAACATAAAAGGAAAACATTCCAAGTGTTAATAATAAAATTTTACAAGTGTTTTTTTTTAACTTGCGTAACATGAATATGTTTACGACGTATTATATATATATACATATAGGTACAAGTCACATATGTAATAATAAACTGTAAAATTGAACATTTACTAAAAGCTAGTTCGGTGACAAGATTCACCTCAGCGTGTTCTGCCGCTCTCAAATTGTACTATAACATAACGGCCAAAAGCCGTCAAAGGGCTAACTCTAAATAAATTGACCAATTGTAGGTTAAATGTATTCGATAAAAAGAATGATCAAAGTTGGTGCACCAGCAAAAAGTGCACACAAACAACACACATAAAGTATGGTCCGATAATATACATATGTATTTTTTTAATTCTGTTAAAAAGTGTTTTTTACACATAACAAAGTGTCTGCCGTTAAAAAAAACAATGGACACGTTTGTCGACAGAATTGAATTAGTTCGTGACATTCTTACATCTTTAGTAATTTTTATTTTTAAAAAAAAGTACAAGAAACAATTATTTACAATATTTTTTGCATTCGCGATAATAACAATTGACTTTTATTTCCGTGTAGAATATTATTACAGAAGAGAATTTAAATGCTAAAAGCGTCACCAGGCCGGCGGCGGCACTGCGGCACTGCGGCACTGCACACACTATTTACCGCTTTGTAATCATTCAATGAGCCGCTTGTAACATTTTCTGTCATAGTAAAGATATTAAAAGAAAAACAATTGGAATATCACCTGTTAGTAAAATATTTGTAGATAAATATGGCGGCGCAGCGTTGGCTGTGTCTGCTTGCTGCACTGCGGCTGCTCCATTATTATTACATACACTACAAATAGCTACAAATCCTGTTTTATGTTACTTGAACTCAGCTAAGCATAGGGTTACCTCATATCCGTCAACGTTCGCCACCTACCTCCGCCACCTCGCAACCTTTCCGAACAGGAAGCGCCGATCCCGCCCAACTCTGGCCAAAACATGTCGCCGTCAAGGAAAACCCGGTATATTGTGCTGTCACATGACGCAAATAATAAGTGCTCTCTTCCTTGATGCACACTAGCGCACCCGGGTGCCATTCAGTTCCGGGACCTGGTTGTCGCTCAAATTACCACCTTAAATGTCAGAGGGCGATAAGTCACTGAACGACTTTCTTTTTGGTCGACCGCCCTCGGTGGCTACGTGAGTGGGCGAGTGGGCTCCCGGGCGGGCGAGCCACGCCGGGTCAAGTTCACAGCGCGTGCATTACGACTTTTCGATTCGAATTCGACTTGTCGATTTTTGAATCTTATTTAGCTCTGAATTCGTGATGTCGGAAAACCATACCGATGTAGTTAATTCATGTTTAATTACTTGCTCGTCTGGTCAAAGATAAAATGTATAGTAGAGCCCGCAGCGATACCTATGTTAATTGCATTACTAATAATGCGTGGATGTATTGAACTCTCTGCCGGTGGGGGATAACGAATGCGCTGCGCCGCGCACGCGCCGCCGGCGTGCTGAGCGCTTTACAAATTGCGCTTCACAAAAACTTACTTCATATACACAAGAAAAAAAGTGTTTAAAGTTAACCCTTTGACCGCTTCTTGATATTATACACAATTACTTCCCATTTTTTTACCCGACTGACTTAGGAAGGTAAAAGTTTTTTCGCGTACGTATGTTGTTATCTATGCTGGTTTGGATGTGTGTTGTTCCACTGTGAGTGACGTCTTGTATCCTAACCGGCTGTAACGATGTCGACGAGTATCGTATTCATCCCCCGAGTGATGTGGTCCAGTAATGCTTGTATTGTTGCTTGTTGATACATCACGCATACTGACGCTGAACGAAGCACTTTGTTATTTCATAAAGAAGAGAGGCGTGGCGTGTCGCTCTGTCTACATTGGCACACGCGTCCAAGAGGAAAATGCGTGTTCTCGCCGCGTACCTGCGATGCTTCTTTTATATCATCTCAATGTACACGGATAATAATAATATTTAAACCACTGAAGTTATACGAGATAATGCGTAATTGGTACATTGCGTTATATAACTCTATTGTTAATTGTTATTATAAAACATATCATGATTGCACCATGATAACAATTAACGTACAAGACACAAGCAAGTGAAAAACCCCCGCGCCGCTCCTCATTGCGGAGGGCGCGCTGCAGCCCGCTGGCCATGCCGCTGCCGCTGCGACATTCATATGCTCCCGGCGACCAGTCCCGTATTCTCTAACAAATTTAATCTCATTTGAAAAACTCGGTGAAAGAAGTCAGGATTAACATTATCGTATATAAAACAGTTGAATGTTGATTGGCAAGCCAAGTTTGATAGGAGAAGTGCGGGCGGCCGATACATCTATTGGTAAACTTCGTGTCTCGCAATGGAAGGTGGCGAATAATCGTCGTCTGCCAGACTACGCGGCACCACCACACCGCGTGATCCGGCGACGTCATTGAACAAGAGAAAATAATTAATAAACGTCTCGTACATTAACTTATCTTGGAGAATCGTTATTTACAAAGTATCGATCGACGACGCCGATCTGTCCGTGCTGTCGCCATTACACCTTCCAATAAATGCGGCGGCGCAGCGCGGCGGAGGGCAGACTGAGTCGCAGCGGCATCGCAGTCGCGCGCACACAGCACACAGCCCGCAGCCTCACGCACGCCCGCGCTTCCTCCGTCTCCGCCTCCTCCGCACCACGCGACTGCAACTTACTCTCTTATATTATCTTGTAAGTCTCTTCTCTCTCGTACTTTGTCCATCAAACACCTCGCTCATCTACCTTTTTGGGGAACGGAACGTGGCTCGAAATCGGTGGTTTTTCGGAACCATTCGGTAGACATGACACATTAGTGCCATACCAAAAGTACTCGCCGCTTATACTTGCCTCATCGCATCCATTTAATGGGCAATAGTTGCTTGGTTCATTTACATATTATTTAAGTAGTTGCTAAAGGTTGCTGAAAGTGGTGCCGCCATCGTTCCGGCGCGCGCTGATCCCGGTAGCGGCAAGTGGCAGGGGCAAGTGCCTATTATATAGGTTGAATAAATGTATGTTTATTTATATATTTTTTACAAGGTAGACAGCAGGTACAGCTGGAAGACAACAATAATATATATACAAGATAGTTAATAATATATATTATTTTATTTAGAATTGTTACTTCAACTGCGCCATCAATGCTCACCTTTACAATTTCGCACATTTCAAATGAGTTTTTTTTGGTGTACTTTTGACCTTACTGCTACGACATTGTAGAAGGAAGTGACTACAGTTAACTTGGAACAAATCGATATTCAGTCATTTTAATTCTACGAATCATTAGTGATGTTTGTAGTGTATACTGTTTTTGTCAAGTTTTAAACAAAGTTAATATGTAAATTGGAAGTAGAAAGATTAACGGCTCACCTGAGACCGAGACGAGAACACACGCGGCGGGACAGGGCCGGACACGGAAACTGATGCAATTTACATATTTCTCATATCTAAGCTCTTATTCAGTACAACATATCCTATACCTAGATGTTACACTGCTACCTACTGCTGATCGCACTGCCTCTATATATAATGTCTCTTTAAATCGGATCAGAGTATGTTTTAGCAAAGTACGTATGTAATTTTAACTTTTTTGTGTTGTTGTCGACAGAAGTGAGCTGCTTGAGGCAGCCGGCATCCAGTGGGCAGCGGGTGATGATGAAGATGAAGGTGTGGGGCGCGCATGGAGAGTTCTGCGCGCGGCACCAGTGGGAGGTGATCGTGGCGACGCTGGCGCTGCTTGCGTGCGCGGCCAGCGTGGAGCGCGGCGGCGCGGCGCGCGTGCAGCGCTGTGCGGGGTGGGCACGCGCCTGCCCCGGCCTCGAGGCCGAGTACCAGGCGGCCGACGCGGTCGTAATGACGTTTGTGCGCTGCGCGGCTCTGCTCTACGCTTACTATCAAGTCTCCAATCTCCAGAAGATCGCATCTAAGTATCTGCTCATCATAGCCGGCGTGTTCTCAACATTCGCCAGCTTCATCTTCACGTCCGCACTCGCAAGCCTCTTCTGGAGCGAGCTGGCTAGCATTAAGGACGCGCCTTTCCTCTTCCTGCTGGTGGCGGACGTGGCGCGCGGCGCTCGCATGGCTAAGGCCGGCTGGTGCGCCGGCGAAGACCAGGGCAAGCGTGTGGGGCAGGCGCTGGCGCTGCTGGGGCCGAGCGCCACGCTGGACACGGTGCTGGCCGTGCTGCTGGTGGGCGTGGGCGGGCTGTCGGGCGTGCCGCGCCTGGAGCACCTCTGCACCTTCGCCTGCCTCGCGCTACTGGTCGACTATTTGGTGTTCGTGACCTTCTACCCCGCCTGCCTGTCGCTGGTTTCGGACTTCGCGGCGGGAAGAAAAGAGATAGCCTCCGACGGCCTGTTCTCCGAGGCCGAGCTCAAACCGAACCCCGTGGTGCAGAGAGTGAAGATGATAATGGCCGGGGGACTGCTGTGCGTGCACTTGACGAGCCGCTGGCCGTGGAGCCGAGAGGGCGGCCTGCTGGAGGGCGCGCTGCGCGACGACGCCGTCCCCAGCGCCGGCGACGACCCGCTCTTCCACTCGTACGTCAAGTGGTTCTCCGTGAGCGCCGACTACATCGTCATAGCCACGCTCCTGTGCGCGCTTATTATCAAATTTATATTTTTCGAGGAACAAAAAAATTGGATCCTCGACATGAACGATATGACCGTCAAAGAGGTTGTTCAAAGCGAGAAGCCCATGTTCTCGATAGGCGAGGAGCCCGCGGTGAAGGCGGACATCTTCACGCAGACCGAGGATTTGGTCGCCGGCGACGAACTGGAGTGGCCCGTCCTCTCCCCGAGCTCCTCCGCGGCCAAACTCAACGCCAAGAAACGGTCGATGGCCGAGTGTTTGGAGATATACCGCGCGGAGGGCGAGTGCGCGACCCTCAGCGACGACGAGGTGGTGATGCTGGTGGAGCAGTCCCATATCCCCCTGCACCGGCTGGAGGTGGCCCTCGGCGACCCCCTGCGCGGCGTGCGTCTGCGTCGGCGCGTGGTCGCCACCCGCTTTCACGCCGAGGCCGCCATCGGCCAACTCTCCTACCTCAACTACGATTACAGCAAAGTGCTGAACGCGTGCTGCGAGAACGTTATCGGCTACGTGGGCATCCCCGTGGGATACGCCGGACCGTTGGTCGTCGACGGCAAGCCCTACATGATTCCGATGGCGACGACGGAAGGAGCTCTCGTCGCGTCGACCAACCGCGGCGCCAAGGCGATAGGCGCCCGCGGAGTGACCAGCGTGGTCGAGGACGTGGGCATGACGCGCGCGCCGGCCGTGCGGCTGCCCAACGTGGTGCGCGCCCACGAGTGCCGCCAGTGGCTCGACAACAAAGACAACTACGCCCTCATCAAGGAAGCCTTTGACTCAACCTCGCGGTTCGCGCGCCTGCAGGAGGTGCACGTCGGGGTGGACGGCGCCACCCTTTACCTCAGGTTCCGAGCGACGACCGGCGACGCCATGGGAATGAACATGGTATCCAAGGGCGCCGAAAACTCCTTGAAACTGTTGAAAAACTTTTTCCCCGACATGGAAGTCATAAGTCTCTCCGGAAACTACTGCTCGGATAAAAAAGCGGCGTCGATCAACTGGGTGAAAGGGCGAGGCAAGAGGGTCGTCTGCGAGACCGTCATCAGCGGCGAGAACCTGCGAAACATCCTGAAGACCGATGCCAAGACGGTCTCGCGCTGCAACAAGATCAAGAACCTGTCAGGCTCCGCGCTGGCCGGCTCCATCGGCGGCAACAACGCGCACGCCGCCAACATGGTGACCGCGCTCTTCATCGCCACCGGCCAGGACCCCGCGCAGAACGTCACCAGCAGCAACTGCTCCACCAGCATGGAGCCCTGTGGCGAGGCCGGTGAGGACCTCTACGTCACCTGCACCATGCCCTCGCTCGAGGTGGGCACCGTGGGCGGCGGCACCGTGCTGCCCGCCCAAGGCGCCTGCCTGCAGCTGCTCGGCGTCAAGGGCGCCGGCCTGCGCCCCGCCGAGAACTCGGCGCGTCTCGCCTCGCTCATCTGCGCCACCGTGCTGGCCGGCGAGCTCAGCCTCATGGCGGCGCTCGTCAACTCCGACCTCGTCAAGTCGCACATGCGCCACAACCGCTCCGCCGCCAACGTGCAGTCCGCCGCCCCCGCCCCCGCCTCCACCGCCACCTCCACCTCCGCCTCGACCCTTCTGCGCGTGCCCACCTCGTAACGAACGCCGGTCAGCGGGGCGACACGCGGCCTCATCGTTAAAGCTTTAAAAATATACTGTAGATGAGCGCAATCTAAACACCGTTTACTTCTTCCATTCGATGACATTTATTGTGTCAGGGTTCGGGCGGGCTAAGCGACATGTCAGTATAAAGTTTTATTTATATGCTAAGAGTACGTCGGCTTATACGAAACCTTAACAATTAACACTCCGTCTAACTCCCATCTCTATGTTATCGGGTAATTTCGGGTGCACAAAGCCGCGCAGTCGACACATGTACTCAGCGCTGTGTCGGCGCCTGCTCTGCCTCTAAATGTTGCTTGACAGTTTAAACTTAATTATTTATATAGATGTAAAGTGCATGGATTTGCGTCGGCGAAGTCGAGTCAGACGTTCCGGCGCATTGTATATTTGTCTTCCGAATGTAGTTGTTGTGTGTCCGTCGCGGACTGAGGGACAATGTTAAATAAAAAATTTTGTTAATCCACCCGTTGGTTTCATTTTGACGATCCCTACATTTAGATCTAGACAAAAGCCAAATTTAAAGAATAGCGATATGAACATTGTGCAATAGTTTGTGCGAACGAAGTAGTTGGTCATAGAGGACAATGCCTTTCATTGGGCAAGTAAATGAGTTCCATTTCACTACATGTTTAAAAACTTCAAAAAAAATGCAAGGCTTTTGTCAGCAGATGCAACTTCACGTCAACGTTCACTGGCTAATTAACTACATTCATAATAAATAAGATATGATGCAAGTGAAGAAACGTCTAGCATGTTAAAGAACAATGTCATTGGCCATCTCGAAGATCGTCGTTGACATGTGTACCTAAGAACCGTTTGGTCCACTGTGTCAACGCCAGCTTTATATCTATTATAATTTCTGGTTTTCGCTTAGCATCATCATCATCATCAACAGATGCATCTGAATGCATTGTATTATATACAGATAACAGAATGCCAGCTTTATTTTTCTTAGGAACATAAGAACACAGTAATCTTTTTATGAAATCCAAAACTGTCGAATACCGCTCCCGTGTCTTATTTGCTTTCATAACATTAGGGATGTAGGGCTTACTTTTTTTAATGTGCCAACAGTTGTAAGATTCCACGATAATAAATGTTTAGCAACGGGAAGAGTAGTAAAGAAGTAATCCATGCAAATGTTTCTACCACTACCTACCTCGGTACGGAGCCGCCAATTTCTTCACTGATTTTTTATGTTATTGTCACTAACTATTCATATTTTAAGAAAAAAATGTGTAGAACTTTTTTGTTTAACACATTAAAAAAATCTAATATTTAGATTAGAAGAGAACAGATCTAAATATTAGAAATTGCTAAAAGACGTCGGTAAAGTTGGTTATAAACATAAGTGTTAAGAAAATGTAAAAAAAAACTACAGTCTTGTTAAGCAGCCACTGTCCCAGCACACATCTTTAAATTACATCCTCACGATGTTTTTACAGAAATAGTCTTCTTTATATTTAAGAATACTGATCGTCGTCGAAGTTAAAAATAACCTAAGTTACTCCCTCATACAGCAACTATCAGTCCAAGTCGGTGTCGCATTTTCCGAGATTTCCCGGAGCAAATACGGACTTACGGAGTCAGATTTTTTAAAAACAGTTTTAGGGTCTAGTTGACACCAAGCCACACTTCAAGTTAATGATATGTACATAAGGGGCGTACTGACATATTATAGTACTTGAAGCGACATATCGCAGAAACGATGACTCTTAGGAAAAAAGAATTGATTCAAAATATAATTTTATAATCTACAAATTTCGTTGGAGATATTTTTTGTCAGGATTTACCGTTTTGCACAAAATCGCAACTAATTTTGTTGGTCTGGCCTCGAATAAAAAAATTCCTCCAGTCGTTCTGGAGATACCATACCTACCTTCATACAAACATCCATCCATTTAAACTTTAGCATTTATAATATTAGAAAGATTGTATTTAAAACGATTCCATCAATTTTCAGGTTGTTGGGAACTTATTTTTATTTATTTCATGTAACATCAGGTAACACATAATGGAAAAAATATTACATTAGTTTTGGAAAAATATACGACGTGTGCACGTACCCAGTGTCGCACTATCGGGCAGTCAAGCTTGTCGCTAAGGCCTCTTAGTACGGTGTTGGGGCTGTCCTGTACTCTGCGTAGAAGCGAAGCTATCCGTTTGCGCAGCACGGCGTTAAAGCCGTCAGTGTGCGCTTGCGCAAACATCTCGGATGCGCTACAGTGGCAGGGAAGCCCCGACAGCATCCTAAGGCTATTGTTGTATTGTGCACGAAGGGCGCTGAGATCCCGCTGCGTGTAGCTAACCCACAGATTACATGCGTACAAAGTTTGACAATACGTCTTTAAGAGCATGATTTTAACAACTACTACATCGCGAAAATCTGCGAGCCGGCTTTTTACACAATGTCACTTCACTCTTAATTTATGGTTTAATTTGACCGGACTATTATGTAATTAGAAATTGTTTCAGGTGACGTAAAGGACTCGCTATACAGGGACGGGGATGTTAATATCTGGCTAAAATGAAACTTCTTTCTTTACAAATATAATAATATTTATTACTTCTGTCAAGTAAGTTTTTACATTTAAGAAGGACTCCTCGAGTTAGCAGCGATGTAGATGATGTGCGGCCGCGGCCACTACAACGCGGCGCGCGGCCGCCGGCTGTCTCCCGCGCCCTCCCGCACTCTCCCGCGCCCTCCCGCGCCCTCCCGCACTCTCCCCCACTCTCCCGCACACGCCGCTTATGTACAACAAACACTAAGTGTTCGAGAGGTCGCGAGACCGCCCCGCCCCGCCCCACACGTGCACACAATACAATCAAATTATTCATCACAACTATGCACAATATGGGCAAAAAGAATATCGAAAGAAAAAGATATGTCGGCTGACTCTTGTGAGACATCTCGTACTAAGAACTGCTACTTATATTTACATACCGCGCATTGTGAGGAGCCTCGCATCTACGACATTATTAAATAACGAGGTCCAAGTCACAACTTAGAACAAGCAAATTTGTAAGCCAACATTAATAATTTCCAATTTATTTATTGGAATTAAATTTGGACAAGTCACCGAACTTATCTATCAATGAAATAAATGTTGTATGTAAACAACGCTGACGCACGCATCGGCTCCGCTCACTCCTCACTCATCACTCCTCGCTCGTCGCCTACACATCTATTACAATCACAAATTCAAATGGATGCCTTCACTAGCGCATCGCTCGGAATCTGTTACAAACAAGCCGCGGGACGTAGTTAGGTGTGTGGGGGGCGCAGGTGTCGGCGCAGCCAGGCGCGGAAGCGAGCGCGGCGCGCGGCGTGCAGGCGCGGGTGAGAGGCGCGCGCAGCGGCGAGGCTGCCGGCGCGGTACGCCACGTGGGCTCGGCGCGCCACCAGCCGCACGCCGCCCGCCAGCGTGCACTCCGAGTGGTCGTGCAGACGCGCCGGCTTGCGGCGGCGCGGGGCGGGCGCGGAGGCGGCGGGGGGCGCGGCGCCGGCGCTGGCGCAGGGCGCGGCGCTGGGGCAGGGCGCGGCGCCCGCCCGGCGCGCGTTGCGGCGCAGGAAGACGGGCTTGTGGCGGTGTACGGGCTGCGGCGGGGGCGCGGCGTCGGGGCGCGCGTACCGCTCCGCGTACAGCGACCAGGCGGCGACGCGCGCCACGCCGGCGGGCAGGGGGTCGCGCGCGCGCGCAGTGGCGGACGCGGGCGCGGGCGGGGAGAGGCGCGCGGTGTCGCGGTGCGGGGAGGCGCGGCCCTCGGCGCCGCCCTCCAGCAGCTCGAAGGTGACCTTGCACTCGTCGCCGCCGTACTGCGGGAGAGAGAGAGGTCCGCACATGTATGAGGAGAGTGGCGTGAGGGAGCGCGCGGCGCACACACACACAGTACGATCAGTAGGAAGGCAGCATGCGACAGTTCAACACCGGCACTCAGCTAGGAGCACATCGCATCGTTATCATCATAGTCGCATGGTACACTTGTCGCTCGGCAGAAATGACAAGATATATAAACATATAGTTATAAAAACAAGAACAATCGACTTCAAACTGGTTCCCGACATCAAAATATCTATATGAAATATATCGTCATCGC